ACTTCTCTAACTCAAATGATTATCTGCTGAGGGTACTAAACTTTGAAGTTTTTTACCACTAGCAGCGGTTGGGAGCAATGTTTTTATAAGTGGGTCCCCATTCTGTTGGCATCCTGTGCAGTTGCACATGGACGGACATGCGTGTAAGAATCTATGTGGGTAACACCAATTATTGTATTTTTGTCGTGGGTGTGGCAAATTTTGTTTGTTGGATTTGTTTGATTCATATTTTGGGGGATTTTTCTTTTAGTCTACATGCATTTGCACTTAATATATAGATAATATGTAGTCCAGATTCTTCTGATAAAATCAGATGCTTAATACACAGAACTAAGTTTATACAGATTTTAGGAAGAGATCTGAGGCACCAATGATGGGAAAACATGGCATGTCTGCTAGAAAATAGCTCCCAAAACTGAACTCCACACCATCTACATCAGACAGCTCTATCAGACGGCACAATTTGTAACTTTAAACAGAGCCAGTCTTTAGGCCAGGCTACAGCTAAACATTCATTCTCTCACTGTTAACTAAAATGTTCAAATACTCCTTGGCTCTCAATCCAGCTCAAATAGATGTCAGGAAATATGGCCGGCAGAGCATCGCCCTCCAACACACACCCTCACACACAGCTGAAAAAAATGACTACGGTGCATGTGGGAGGCAAGGAGGTGGTCGCCCTCATTTGGACTCCTCACTACTGACCGCTATTGGACAGGTGGAGTTCGAGAGGCCGGCTCGGCTGTCTCATTACCCTGCAACCAGACGTGTGTGGGGGCACATCACGACTCCTCACCTCCCTGTCCCTGTCAGCGTATCTCCTACACCCTGTCCTCTGACAAACAGCCTGGAGGTTTAAAGCCTCCTGCGCAGCCTCATCCTTGTGTGCTTTTCTTGGGTTTCTCGCCTTACCGTAGAATATGAGAAGGCTAAGTAGCTGTTAAACATCGAGCAAGTCCCAGGCGTTGAATTTCTCTGCATGTGAGAGAGGCTGTGGTAGATTGCATTAGCCTAAGCCTAGCTCTAAATTATGCCAGTGTTTCGAGAAGCCCTTGGCAGTGTGGAGAGGCAATTCATTCTGACTAAATGTAGGTTGCCATGATATGTGAAGAGTGCTTTGTGGAGAGAGCTTGGTGGAGCCAAAAGAAGCTTCAATGAGTCCTTTACCTCAGCTCTGAATAAATCACCCTCAAAGTGTCAAAGACCACTTGTGTTTTATCCCGGTCTGTATGATGGGGATTTAGACACTCAGTGGATTAGCAGGGCCAGAATTTGGATGAGGGACAGTGAGGGCATTTCATATGGACAGCCATCTAACGCCATTGTGGAAAGGCAGTCTCAAAGGGGCAGTCTGGCTGTGCCATCAGCACCAAAGAACTGAGCCAAAACTGAAATGTTGGCATTGCAAAACATTCAGGGATCCGATCCATAACAGCACAGATGAGAATAAGCTGTTTAGTCCAACATCAGAAAAGGAGATGTTCATGGTGTTGTCCAAAAGGCTTATTAACAGCTTTAATTTGGTTTTTAGAAGTTTTAGATGACTCAGTTTACATTGTGATCTTCTACGTCACATTATATCCTCCCGAAAAACTTCTCAGAACCAGTTTCAGCGTCAAGTTTTTTACTTCCATCAACGCTCCTGTCCACTCCATCCTCCCTTCTAATCCGTCAGTCTGCTCCTTTCTCAGTGTCCTCTCTGAACAGCAGGGTACCGGAGCCTGTGGGACAGAACCATCTGTCAGCCACCGAGGAGGGATAGCTAGACATGCTATCGCCATTAGAGCAATGGATTTCTACTGTTCCCCGTCTCAGGACTAAAAACCTCATCCTTGCACTTTATTGCGGTGTCAAAGTGAGACATGTCATTCCACTCACAAGTTGTTGCATATTCCCATGGTGCTTCACATTGTCACTTTGCCCACATTGCTCAGTGTTCCAGGTTTTTTCCCCTCTCCCTCTAGTATTTGTTTTGCTTGTTTTTTCACTTTGCTTGTCAGTCTTAGTCCTTCTCACTCTCCATATCCCCTTGCTCCCACTTGAAATGTTTTTTTGTTTATTTGTTTTTTCTGGTGTTTTGCAGCTTTTGTGTAAAAATTGTTGTATTTTAAAGAAATATAAAATGTAGCTGATTTTACTAGTCTATGTCTAAGTACATAATTCTTATTAAAATTATTGTCATATTTGCTGAATCTTTCACTATATCCTGACAGTAGTACAGGAGACAGATATTCTGTGAAAAAATCAGGTTCCTCTGGCTCGTTGTAGCACTCCTAATAAAATTTGCAAGAATCCATCGGGCCTGGATGAAAACAACCAATCAGAGCCAAGAAAGATAGTTGACTGTTGAGTCTCATTCCCAGGGCATCAATTACGGGTGCTTTGGGACCCTGGGAATGAGATTCAACAATCAACCATCTTCAAGCCTACAACCCAAAGCTTCTTATCTTTCCTGGCTCTGATTGTTGATTTTGTCTAGGCCTGTTGGATTCTTGCAAATACCATTAGGAGCACTACAACGAGCCAGAGGAACCGGATTCTTTCACAGATTATCTGTCTCATGGACTACTGTCAGGATATAGTGAAAGTTTTAGCAAATCTGACAAAAAGTTTTTTTTTGATAAACGTGACCCACTGCAGCTTTAGGTAATATTTTATATTCAGTTAAAGGTGCCCTGTAAAGTTACATTACATACAAAAACAACAAACGTGTTGAATGCATAATGAATGCGACATAAAACATTTGCAGAGCTCATTTAACATCTGAAATGATGCATTATTTACATCAGTGTTTGCTAGCTATCAGACTTCTTCTCTGCCTTTGTTAACACATTGCACTTTACCATCTGAAATAGGCACAGATATGTGTCAATGTACATCATTCAAGATATGGCTTCCGTCTATCATGTTATGACATCTTTTTTGGCGATGACTGCGACAGACACTTTCCCTGACTTTAGTCTTTAAGGCGTCCTCCCAGGCAACTTAAGTACCCTGACGTAACAGAAGTGTCCTTTTAGTTAAAACACTAGTAGCTAGCTTCCTGAGCAAACACAACTACAAACATGAGGCAAACACACAATGGCGAAAGGATCTCCCGAAGGAGTCTATCAGACGGACATGTTAGACACTGACATTACACAGACAGCTGCAGCACCACAGGGGTGTGTGTTGTGAAGCGTTGGAGGAGATATCCAGAAGCCACAGGATACCCACCTATCACCACTACACTACCCTGCTGGTCACAGCTATTACTTAGAACTGAACATTTTAAGTTATTCCTTATTCCCCTTAATAAAGTAATATATATGTATATGTATATATATATATATATACACAATAATTACCAACAGTGCTGAAGCGTGGCAGCTAAACTTACCCTTATTAGCGGGGCCCTGGCCTGGGATCTGTGCATTGTGTATGTCTGTGTATGTTCCATCATGTACATGGCAACACAACTATGCTCATGGCACAGCTTTTCTGTGTCACTTATTTTGTGGTGATATAATGACACAGCTTGAAATTAAAATATGCACCATTTGAAGTACAAAATAAAAAAACAAAAACTAGATTTTGACACAGGGCCCCTCTGCAAAGCCAAATCAGAGAAATGAATCAAATTACCTGCAACTAACTGCCACAGTAAAAACTGGCAACTGGCTACTGGCAATGTGACCTATTGATAATTCTAGTGTTTTGAATTCTCCTTTCTTTGTAGAACACCCCGTGCTTGTCACAGTACATCAGCAGTGACCTGGGAATAGCATGACAAAACACCCCAGCAATAACCGCTTGTTACACAAGATGTAGCCAAAACACAAACAGGGAAAAAAAAGAGAAAAGAATCTTTTGGATTTATGGGTTTGACTATGCATGAAAAATCTAAATGCTTCATGTTCCTGTTGTGTCACAGTGGAACTCCTTGCATTGCTATTTTGTTTGACTCAACTTCATTAAACTTTCAGGACTTGCTGTTCTGAGCACTAAAACACACTCGTCTCCCAGTGCTGTCAGGAAGACCCAATAGCGTGTCCTGTCTTTATTATGAATATCAAACAAACAGGCAGCGCTGACAAGAGGTTCCTGGTGGACACAGCCTCTGTCAAGTCAAAATTTGGTATCTCTTCCTCCAACTCACGTCCGTCCACTTTTCACTTTGTCTTCTTGTATTATTTGTCAGCAGGATCTCTTCCTTGGGTCACCAGTGACACACCAGTACCACAATATAATTGCCCACAGACCTCTGGGAAAAATAACCAAGAGGCACTGTAATCACTGTGACTCCACTGCCAGAGGTAATGTGAAAACCCCTTCCCTGCTTTTACTCTGTCACCACGCATTTCATCCTTGGGGCTGGCTTCTCTATTTTCTGCCTCCTCTGACCTCTCTCATCCCCTCTCACTCCCTTGAGAAAGCAGCAGTTGGTGGCCTTTCTCCAGGGTGAGTGATGGCAGTTCCATGGACAGACTCATCCACACTTAATTACCCATAAGCCTCTTTGAAGGGAAACATTGAGAGACCGAGGCATGCGCACTGTGACATCTCCTTATGTCTCTTCATTCCAGCACCGGATGGGACTATTAAAGTCCATCCACTGTGACTATTTTCACCATGTTACATAACAAAACCATTTTTGGGAAGTTCCACTTTGGAAGAGGGTGATTATTAGCATAAATATCGTTCAGAGTTTATACATTTTTAATGAAATAATCACTTTGAGTTGACATTTCCCCCTTTGGTTATTCCAGTGCAACATAACTTCAAACCCACAGAACTGTCCCTTTTACATTTTCAGACAGACCAGCGGGGCCTCTGATTGGTCACAGTTAAGCTTCAGTGCCTCTGGGTAACAGAGTTTGTCATGCCCAACACTCGGAGTGATATTATGAAAACATGGGGATTGCGAGTACACTGCAAATCTAGAAAGGGCCCGTGTTCCCGTCCACAGATGCCCTTGAAGCAGCGCGCATACACATATGAGACACTGAGATCAATTTGAAAATTTATTTTCATATAAAAAGACACTATGAAAACATTAGAGGACTACTTTGTACAATCTTATGTATAAAAAGAACAGAAATGAGGGAGAAAAGGAAAGGGAGGGGGGTTTTTCAATAATAAATCAACTGGAATGTTGGATGGTTGTAGCAGTCGGTTAACACCTAAGCATCGAAGGCTAAAGGGTGAAGGTGGATGTGAAGGTGAGTATAGTAGGTTTTGGAGTTGGTGTCCGCCTGGAGTTAAGTTGCAAATTGGGCTTGCCCGTGTTTCATCTCTCTGCATGGGCTGTTGAGTTTGGCAGGCTTTCAACACACAAAAGGAAAACAATCTGACGTACTAGCATACACTCTATCATCTTCATGTGTCAGCATTTGCATCAGTTTATCAGAGTAAAGGAAAACTGTGAAATTGCAGGATGATCCGTAGTTGCGGTGGCACACTCAAATGATCAGTCATCAATCTCAGTCAGTCAAGCACTTACCGTTCTCGGAGGTGAACACTTAAAAATCCGGCCCTCACTGAGGTGAAACCTACTCACACCGTTCGTGTGCAATGAGCAAAATACAGAGAAAAAAATGAACGAAATCGCACACTGCGCTGAAATCAAACATTCACATTTCTTTCTTTTTCTTTCCTTTTTTCTCCTTTCATCAAATTCCATTTATAAGTTACCATGGGAACAAGGCTTTATAGGGAGAGCTCATCTACAGCTTTCTCTTTAACAAGTTCTGTTTTATATATATACTGTATATATTTAAAAAAAAAAATGTTTTGTCTGTGTAAAGGTCAAATCTGTTTCCCCTGAGACTGATGTTTTCTTCCACTATACAGCATCACCCACTGACTGAGACCGTGGTGCTGACGGACCGCTGCTTGCTTCTGTTTGGACACACTGTACGGGAGATCTGAATCCTGAGCCGCACAGAAGGTCAGGTGAATGTGACCTTAGCTGGGCGACGTGGGGCCGAACCTACCCCTCTCTCCTGTGAGAGGGAGCGGGCTGTAGGTTTGTGTATCAGCTGATTAGCTTGAAAGGTTAGGAGGGCCGCACTCTTGTCTCACCATCTGCGCTGTGCTGCAGTACTACCACATTAGGGATCTTTAAACAGATGGTTTGAGGGCTGCATTGGAAAATGTCAGGACAAATCGCCATCCCCGGGTAATTACTGTTTTGAGCACTCCCCTTCTTAATCTGCATCTCTGTCTGCCTCTAGCTTTCTCGCTATATATTTTTGGATCTTTTTCCATGGCTACAGTTTTCTCTTGCACTTTTTGCTGCCCTAAATTGTCTCTCATCTGTTTCTCCACACCGTTAGATTTGGGCGAGCTTTGAACATCGGCAGAAAAGTTATCAAGCCATCTATTGAATTCATCCTGCACTCTGACACTGTCTCCATCCCTCTGTTGGTGTGCCGAGGACTGATGTGCTAATGTAGAAACAGCGGGAAACTGGTTGTCCTCTTGTAGCGTCGGTAGTACGGATGTAGAATGTCAAGCAGGAAGCACCACCACTGGCTTTTTTTTTTTTTTTTTTAGCTTTTCCCTCTTCACTCTGCCACCCTGTAGCCTTCTAACCTCTGTGGCTCCCCTCACTGCGTTTCTATTTCACTCTATCTTTCTGCAGCTGCTGTGCTCACAAGCGCAGGGTACAATCACACGGACGGGGATTCATGCGAACGAGGAATTATACATCTGGCTTCACTGCTAACATTAAGATTTCATGCCTCCTGGTAGCACGACGCTGGGTGGGCAGAATGAGCAACAGAGAAGGAGAAATGAGAAGGGAAGGCAGTAGGCGAAAAAGAAGAGGGAGGCATGTTTGTCTTTAAATTTGTGATGGGGTTCTTGGAAAAGGACGAAGAATTTGGCTCAGGTGGTGTTTAGATTCACATGTTATTGGCTTGAAAAAACCTCCTCAGGTCACGTAAAGCTAACAACATTTCCTCAGTAACTGGGGAAGAGCAAGTTAGTCGCTAAACTGATGAATAGTTCACTCTAAGCAGCATAGGTTTTAGCGAAATGAGAGATGCTAAATAGAGCTTGTACGGATTCCATTTGGGCTGAAAAAGACTTGAGATATTCTGTTTCTCTGGAATTACTGTGATTGGTGATGGCTGAAATGAATTCAGATGCTTCAATCTTTAAAGGCTTTTATCTCCAAGCAAACAAAAGAAGAAAAAAAAGGAGATTCAAGAATCTGAATGGTGATTGCGATCCTTCTTTTCCCTCATGGGTGGGTAACATGTGGCGCACATTACCTCAGAAAGCATTTATGTGCTGTGGGTGTCCTAAATCATGTTTTTTTAAGTTCCACATGGGTTAATTCTCACAGGAAATAAAAAGAAAAGAAAAAAATAATGAGAAAAAAAAATGCAGCACAAGCACAAACCAAACCAGTTTGAAAATAAATCAATTCCTCTTGAACAGTTAGACCATAGAACACAACTCAGTTCTTTGTTTCAATCGTAATATCTTTTCATTAAAAGTTTCAAACCACAGGGGAGGACGTTTCTTTAGCTAAACCATAGAAAATACACAAAAAGGGGGAATACAATGTTGACACGGAGGACGTGAGAGAAATGGATGGCTGGGACTGTTGAACTGGAACCTGAAAAAAGTGGAAAGGATGGCACATATCAAGGAGCAGCTTTTCCCCTGTCCCCCCATCCCCTATCCATCCAAAATGATGAAAAAGAAACTAATGAAAATAAAAAAGGAAAGACTGAGACACTGAATGCTTTCGTCATCCATTAGAAGGGAAAAGGAAATAAATGAAAGCAGGGTGCCTAGGGGGCTACCAGTGTGAGAAACCTCAGTGAGATTTTTTTCCCCTTGCTATAAAAAGAACTGAACGGTGCAGAAATATTCTTCTTTTTCTTTTTTCCCCCCCAAATCATTAAACAATTGAAAGAGATTTTCTTTTTTCTCCAGAATAAAATCAAGACATTTTTCTCAGAAATAAGTTTTTTCATAGTTTTCTTAACTTCTTTTAAAAATCTTTGTCAGTCACAGACGTGTCAAGCCCCTGTTCTTTCTTTTCAATAGTCTTTGCGAAAATATAGAGTAGAACAGTCTTCTTTCCATGTCTGTCCACTGCAGCAGTAAACAAATACAGTATGGGATCTGACAGAGCACATTGCAGGAGACGGGGAGCAGTGTGTGTGAGATCTTTGCGGAAAATCATGTACTTATGTATAGCTTTTCAGAAGTTCAGTATCTCTGTGTGCATCTGCATCTCGGCATGAGCATGTGTGTATTCAAGTGAGTGCGTGTACATCCGTGTGTCTTCACACTTCAGTCTGGAAGTCTCCTTCGGACGAGTCAGGGGTGTTAGCAGAGGAGGAGTCCCAGTTCTTATTGTGCAGCTCCATCCGGTCCTTCTGCTCCCCAGGAACAATGGACAGCTCGGGGGTCATGGTTTTGAAGCTGTCCCAGGAGCTCTGGTCCTCCGGGGTTGACTTGTCCTGATGGAGAAAGAGGACAAGGAAAAGCGCCATATAAGGAGAAATATTGGAAAATGAAGGCACAGTGCAGACGTTAAAGTCAGTTAGATTAGACACACTTATGTGGAAGAGAGAGGTCTGTCTTCATCATCTATTAGAGTTTACAGACAACCTTCCTGCTAAACCACATTAACAACCAGACATAGAAATACAACTAAAAACACTGAAACAAGCAGCAGAACCAAATATATAGTGTATTCTACACATTTTCCTCGTCCAAACTTACTTACTTCCAGTTGTGCTTACATACAGTAGTACATCTTCTTATATCAACTGGTTTTCAATCAAATTATAACCACATTAACTTTGGGATCCAGGGACCCAGGAAACTGGGGGCCCACAGCTCATGCTGGCCCTGGGGCACACTGATGGGTTAAATATTGCTGACTTCCTGGTTCAAGTTCAAGTTTGACCTACTGTACTTAACAGACATGTTGGGCACACTCACTTTTGGTCTTATGAAGTGGTTTAGATAACCTCACTAAACTGTTTCCAAAATGTGTAATCATCGGACTACACGTGTTTCTTGCCATGTCAGACTTTGCATCAATGGCGTTTCCAAATTTGAATTGAATTTTGTGAGTACAGTGTTTTCAAAATGGATAGAAATGATGGCCAACACTACGAAATGAGACCTAAGTTGTAGTAAGCTGACATTTTTCCTTTAAATGAAATACCTGACACACAGATTTGGAGATACCTAAATTGAATCTTTTGTCTCTAAGCATGGCAAATATCAACATACACACAGAGAGGCCAAACCACTGCCTCAGTGCCATGTCTAAAAGGTTAGTTAACATAAATAATAAAAAGCAGTACCATACATACCTGTAGTTCAAAGCACCTTTCCATTTTTCTATCAAAAAATACCTCTGTTCTTTTATTTAGAAAGAATATACCTGTCTCACTTTATCTCCCACCTCTCCGAATCAGTAACCTTTGCGGATAAAAGCAGAAAACCATGGGTCTGTGATCGCTGCATGTGGTCCACAGATGTGCCCACTATGCATGTAAAATACATGTTGGGGGATTAGCTAAAGACGGAATTAGAGGTAGCATTATGCATCAGATAAGGGCCATTATTCAAATCGGACTCATTATATCGGAGATAATGATTTCACAGATACGAACTGGGAAAGGCATGAGGGATCGTTAGCCCACATGACTCTCGGAGGAGCAAAACATATAAAGACAAACTTGTGGTGCTTCTCGAAGACATGATGGACCGAGCTGCAGTGGAGCTTCCTGGACTGCATGGGGCTCAATAGTCATAGTCTAAATGAACATTAAGAGGATGAGTGTTCACGGAGTATGTCTTGCAGGACAACACATCCTGATGAGTGCTTTTAAAAGTGTATTTGAGAGGGGAATACCAGATGTGCATTAGCTGTGCAAGTATCTACCCCTATGTGATTGTTTGTACGTATGCCATCAATTAGAGAGCACTCCTGTATCTGCAACTCAGCTATCTCCTTCTTTCATTTCGTTCACGCCTTCCCTTCATTGCACCAACTCTTATAAAGTACTCATACGCAATTCACTTTGAGCTATTCACACCCTCAATCCCTGTCTATCTCATCATCAGACACACACACACACACACACACACACACACACACATATATGCAGTACACACAACTCATTGATCTGCAGTAGCACAGCACTCCCTCCCTCCCTCCTCCCCTCCGCCTCGCAGTGTGATGATCGTCGCCGGAGCGCTAGGGGGCAATATCTGCCTGATTATCATTCTCCCTGCGTCACAGCCTGACAGTTGGTAAAATGAATACAAAAGGCATAATCTGGGAGCCAATTTGCATGCTAAATGCTGGCGAAGGAACATTTTGTAATGCAGGAGTGTGGGTAATGCTGCAGTTAAGCCCAACTTTATCCCTGGGAGACTAGGCTAACACGATTGTGCTGCCACTGCGTGTCTATCCGTTCCCTTTCGCCATCTCTGCCTGCCTCCATTCCCCTCCTTGCCCCAAAGCCCCATCTCATCCCACTCTTTCTCCCTCTCTCTGCCAGAAACCCCCTCTACTTACACTCGACGAGTTCTTTTCACCTCCGGCAGACGAAATGCTCCATCGCTTTTCCCTCTGTGGTGATGAAATGGGAGGGAGAAGACAAGGAGGGGGTGACGAGAGAGACAGAGAGAGAGAAGAAGGGGGAGGGCAGGGGAAAGGGGTTGGGTGGGGGGGATCACAGTCACTGACAACTCTGCCCTGAAACAATAGCATTGTTCCCACACCTTCAGCAGGTGAACAGGCAGTTGTTGTTTTGTGCTTACACCTTACCCTCTCTCTCTCTCTCTCTGCCTCAGTTTCCCAAATCCCCCTCATCAGCTCTCTCATGACAAAACACATGTGTACACGCTCACAACATGCACACATGAGCAGAAACAGTGCAAACAATGATCGGACACGCAACGTCTGCATGGTTATACAAGCATAATTCAAGTGTGTTGGAACAGGCAGTGTTTTTTAACATCCTGAGCTGTCAGAGCTTAGAGGAAAAGTGACGAAGCAGGGACAGAGTGAGTGAGACACTAATAGCCGCTACAACTACTATACAGGGGATAAAAGAACGGACGGCATGTGGGCGTAAAGTAATCTAATACTAAAAGCTGCTACAGTGAATCTGCTGTGCAGTGCTAGAGGCTTTGGAGCTCATGTATTCTAAATAATGTTGAAACTGGATAACTAATCAGGTTATTAGTGCATAGAAATGCTATCTACACTTTCTGCATTATTGATTTGATAGTGTATGTGTTAATACAACACATAAAATAGTTAAAGCTCGGCTATAAAACGAACATTGCTGACTCTGTATGTCCCGCCCCTGGCTTAAACACATAAACCTAGCTTCCCCTGCTGTACCTCTGCAGTGTTATCTATGTTTTTTTTTATGTTGTAAACTGCGGCGTAAGGTGGCTTGCTTCTGTATGGGTGGTCTGTTGTTTTTTAGTCCAATATTTATAGGTGTTCTGAATTTCTAGGTGTTTTTTTAATTGTCTGGTCAGGGTGTGAGCTGGTGATGAGTCCAGCGATACTAGTGCAGAAATTAGAAAAAAGTTCTATGTTGCTTGGTATTGCTGTTTTCTTGGTAGTTGTGTTGACGGGCTGACAGCTCTAGAAATGATGTGTGTGTCACTAGGTGTTTGGGGAGGGGAATGGAAATCCCAGTCCGCCTCAAGTCTAGGCCCAAATTGATTCCCTATAGTGGCTCTAACAACTTGGCTAATATTGACTGGACCCTTTTTTTTGTGAGAAGTATTTCAGAGTATTGTTAAAAGTTTTCTGCAGCAATTGTAAGTTTATGTCCTACATTTTTCCCATCATTAAAAAATCTGCAGATGAAATAGTACATCATTCCGCCTAAGAGTGTTTGGGAGCGTGTCTAAAAGAGTGTGTGTGTGTTTGGTTTCTTCTATGTAAGATTTAAGTTCACCCATTCGGAGATTAAAAACATTTCTGGGCTTGGCATATTGCCTGGGGGTATCTTGATTTACTGTCATATGTGATGTGCTCATTAGCGAGCCTACATGTTGAAAATGTATAGAATCTTGAAATTTGCATCTGGTACACAACAGTTTGATACTTTGAATTGATATGTTTTCAGCGGCATCAGTGGTGGAATGTAAATCCAGTACTTTAATCTACATTTACTCAAGTGCTGCACTTAAATAAATATTCAAGGTACTTGTACTTCACTTGAGTATTGCTTTTTACTTCACTGCAGTTATCCGACAGCTTTATTTTATAATTACTTTACTGATTAAGATTTTACACACAAATCATAATGCTCATAATGCTGTAAAGTATGACACATATACCACCATATGGTAGTTAAAGTAAGCTCCACCTCCACCTGCTACTAACACATTAATGCTTACATACTTCAGTGACTTTCTCCTAACACTACATCATTTCTACTTTCTTTCAACATATGTCCAACATATGCAGCATTTGTAAAAAAAAAAACAAAAAAAAACAATTATCTTTACACTATGTAAAAAGCCAGAAATATCAGGGTTGGCAACAGGACAAACATTATCAACCATCTGTGATAGACTAAATTCATGCCTGACAGACTTTCAATCACCATAATGAGTCCTTTTATCAGCATTCAAAGCATCAAACGTGATTCAGTAATTAACTTCTAAATGCAAAGTTTGTGCACCATCAGTGTTTTGCAATGGAACTGGCAATATGGAATATACTGTCCATCACTGATCGGAAAACCTTAGCTAAATTCCCCAATGATGGAATGTTTCAGGCAAGCTGCACGATTATCTGAGAGAAAATGCTACAAGCTGCAAGCGTGACAAAGCTAAGTGAAGAAAACAGTTTGTAGGGATAGTACATACTAGAAAAAAGACGCTACTGCACAAACATCGAGAGAAGCCTCCGCAACAGTGTTGGTGTATGTTGCCCACTCACTGCCACTCAGTCCCCCTCATTTGGACCACGAAATGGAAATTGTGTCTGAATGTGGGTGAGCAATGTGGCAGGCTGTCTTTGGGAGATGATGGGGGGGACAGGTGGTTGTGGGTAAGCAGGTTAACTTTACCTTTGTTGACTTGGATGCCCATGGTTCTGCTGACTGTCTGGCTAGATTCAAACTGGGACATGACAACAAGCATGCAACACAAGGCCCAGTCAGCCAACAAAGGACATAAAAACAGAAAACAAAAAAACAAAAAACAAAAATCAATAAAATGTGGCAGTAAGGCAAAGAAAAGACATAACAGTACAATGAGTGTAAGGCTCAAATGAAACAAATTTAAAAATCACATTTATACATGGAGAAAATAAAAGTAACATCAAAAGAAGACTGAGTGGATATCAGAACACGACTATAGTCTTATAGCTGTCAGTGGGCTTTGAGTCACTGCACCAGAAGTGGACTCTTTGAAGCCATCTTTGTGTGTTTATTTCATTATATCATCAAGATAATGATCCTGATTTCCCATTCAGTACTGGCATAATTTATTAGGGGGCACAAAAATAGACTAACTGGGCATAGCAGTCTTTAGCACCATTTACCCCTTAGCTGGGAATGAATCTGTGTCACAAGTAATAAGGCCCTTCAAAGGAGCCAAATCTAGAGAATGTAGGGCAAATAAATTCCATTAGTGCAACACATTGCAAACAAACGAGCAATCAGACACACAGGCTTGGTTCGCTGCTGTCTGGGCCTGTGCAGTGCAGCGCAATGCAATCCAAGGCCTGTGTTCCTTTAGTAAAAAAAAATTGCGATTCGGCCCTTTTCACCTCCCTTTAATTGGCCCAAGGACACTAAATGAGCTAAATTAGTATTGTGCCTCTTGGTGCACGAAGCTAGTGTTGGGCTTGTTCCGCCTGGGCTAACCGTCCCCTCATTAGGAGCCACTGATAGAGCCAGTGTGCTAAAGCTACACTCCGCCAGCCCTCAGTTTTCATGGGCAATTTGTGTGGAAGGGTGAAAACAGTTGATGAGTTTATGCTCGGCACGGAGAAGGGGGGCAAGGAAATAATTAAAAACAAGCTAATGAGAGGAATTAATTATTCAATTAATGCCTCAAACGTGCCACTGAAGGCTGAGTTTAGAGGGAGAAATGGGAAAATGAGGGCGACGGGAGAGAGAAAATGTCAAGCCGTGAGGATGAATTGAAGGGAGAATGAGATATGAAGAGGAAGAAGAGGGGAGGACTTGGTTTATTGCTGGAATGTGAAATTGAAGCCCCTTAGCTTAATGCCAGCAAATTGACTATCAAGACCTACGGGGTTTGCAAGTGCAGGCAAATTGCCCCCTCTGAATCAACAAAAATTGAGTCTTTTGTCATTTAAAATTATACATCTTCATTTTACATGAGACATCCTCAAAGCATACACATTACCTTACCTAAATTTCCCTTCAGTGGCCTAAAAACATCACTGAAATATCAATAACAGCCACTAATGTTAACTGTGGAGGCATAAAGAGAGCACCCCAGGTCTCACCTCTCTTTTATGGGGCAGGCTAATGGTAGAGCCCTCTTATACGATACCACAATGTATTTCCATATGTAGCCTAGCAGACCAGACTTTCAGCATAGGATTCAAAAGGACGCCTACAGCCACTTAGATTGAATAGCAAATGCATCTTTCATGAACGAAAATTTGCTCGCTGTCCCTGCTCTGATCTAGCATGAGTGAAATCACAACAAAGCAGAGTACTTGTTTCCTTTGTCTTTCGCTCCATCCCACTGCGTTCTGCACAACTCCTCGCTGCCTATCTGGAGAGGGAAGCCAAGCATGCTTCATTTAATCAGGAACACAGCAGACGACGGGATGGAAATATATCCCATTTGAGAGCTAAAAAATGCATCAGCCAGGCCATTACGCAGTGCGAACTCTCTCTCTCTCTTTTACACACACACCGTCCATCCCACACAGAGAGGCAGAACACTGCATCATTGGGCACTGCATGCAAATTTGTGTTACGACCTTCTGAACCCTGTGGAGAGGATAGAGAACGACGGGCTAACTCCACAGTGACGGAGGCCAAGAAACCGTTCTAAATCTAAACATTAGCGCAGGCAGGGATACTGTGTTACATACACACTGCATCTACTCCGTCTTTCAGTAACCCCACTGATTCCATTTGTATCCTGTCTCCATTACGTGAGACACAATGTAAAATGGAATCCATCCCCCAGCTCGCCATATGGCCTCTGCCACAGCATCCACTGTACTTAAAACAGAGCAGGATTTGAATTTGTTTTCATCATTAGCATTAAAGAGCAGCCCACTTTCTATCCACTTCATCTAAGTCGTACCACTGCAACAGATATTATTCTCTTATGGGGGCAGATAACTGTGTATCTATACCAAAACAGACACACACAATTCAAAGTCAGAAGCTGTCCCCATGTAAACAAAGCCTAATAACAGCTAACAATCCACAATCAATCAACATAAGCTCACAGTGACCCACAAAACAGTTGCTACGTATCTTACCGCATTAAAAATGTGCACAGATGTGTGAAACCTGCAGGAGAAATATATGTCACAGCCTGCAACTGACCTTTGTTAGCCATAGTTTACCAGTAAGCCATTTCACAGAGTAGATTTTAAAATGTCATGTATATATTTAGGGCAACATGTACATTCATTTTCAGGCTACGGGAATAGCTCTGCTAGCTTCAGCAGCCTAACAGAAACGACAGACAAGGTTATTTTCAACACTGAGGTTAATGGGGAGTCTTGTTATATAGTGTCCCCCCCCCCCCCCCCCCCACTCTCTTTCCGGTCACGTCTTTGCCCTCTGTTTGCATCTATTAGGCGTAACACTGAGTCATCACTTAACAGCCTCAAGCTATCAGTGTGGTAAGGATACAGATTACCAGTTCCCAGGCAAGACAGTTAATAACAGTATAACAGGTGGCATTAAGGACAAGAAAAGCAGAAATCAAAAGAAGTATGAAGTATGTGGATTTTATCTGTGATGGTACATGTAATGCCCGAGACCACTTTGAGCCCACTGCACTTACACAGAAAATTGGATAAGATGTGAAAGCAGAAATAGGTGTGCCCATGTGTGTGACATTTTCTGATATCCACTCATCTCCTCAACACAGCAAACACAGAAATCCTACCTTTCCAGAGAAGTAAAATGGATCAAGTCTCTTCTGACCCCATAAGTCCTTGTGATATTTCCTATAGTATTTCACCAGCACCCATACAAAGTGCATCGTGTTTGGCCCCGTTTTAGTGCCAATGAGCTAGTTCATGAGCAGAATATCATGGTTTATGAGGTGATTATAAATTGGTTTGGATGGGTCATTGTCTTTATGAACTGATTTATCACTCAGTTATGGTGTTTCAGACACTGAGATGGGCACAATGACTGTATGGATTGTCACATCACACACAGTGGTGCTACAGCAATGAAAACACAACCCAAAACAGCTAAACAACAACAAAAAAAGTCCTTCTATGTCCTTGTTTTAATCATGGGAGATAAATCCAGTCCTGCATCAGACCACCTTACAAATCCATATCTCTGGTTACAATGATTCCAGATTGTATTAGAATATGAATTTGTACAGGACTTGATGAAGGAAGGGAAATTAGCATTCATTACATGAATGCAGAAGCACAGGGGGTACAAGCTGTGACGCACTGAACTGTTACACCACCACACCGCTAGGGGACCAGCTAATATTTAGGCACTTCACTATGAGACAGCGCTGATGGGTAGTAGATGAGCAGCTGCATGGGAGTAAGCTCATAGACCCTGTCTGTGTGGCTGTAACTGCAAATAGTAAGAGTCTGTATGAGTATGTTCGTAAACCCCACCCCCCAATCAGTTTTGCTGCACCTGTCAAGCTTTCCATTATAACACAGCACATATGCAGTGTGCCATAATAATGGTGGCAGATTTACCATTAGAATTCTTACATTTGAAGGAGTGGGTCCTTGATTTTAGACAGAGTTCGACAAAAGCAGATTTCTCATTTTTAGCTGGTGACCACCGATTCTGTTGTCCGAAATGCTTTGCTGTAAAATCAGCTGTAGCTAGTTAACTAATTAAACTAGCATTCCAGTTTGGCAAACTTAACCCTATCTCAGGTAATATTGGCTGGGATTAACCCTAACAGGTTTGCTGTGCCTAGTTACTGTTGCTAAGCTATGATTGGACAACTTCTGATTGGGGGAAAGGTTTAGTGAACAGTTAATGACATGTGAAATGTACATTTTTGCAGAACAGGAACACAGATACAGCAAACTATGAGATACACACAGTGTCATGTAGCGCATCAACTCATCGGCCTTAGAGTATGTTAGAGGGGCTCTACTGCACGGGGGTTTATGTGGGGGTTTAGTATGCCTTACGTTGACTTTCTTTGTAAACAAGGGACGTTCTGCGCACTAGTGACGGCTCGGTGTTGTGCCTCGGTGGTGGGGGAGGGGGGACCTGTGGTGGGCGAACACGGCCGCATCGGTTAGAAGGGGTCACAGGTTGTTTAGGGTGTGGGTTAAAACACTGTTTAGGCACTTTAAAGGAGAGAGAGGCCTGCAAACGTCAGGGAGGTTAATGGGTTTTTGAGGTATCATTGCTCCAGGTAGATGACTCATCATTAGAGAGGTAAGGGGGGCTGAGGGTTTTTCCTCTACTGGTTTTGCCTGGAACTGGCTAACCTCTCTCATAATTAAAAGGTGAGATGGTCAATTGGCCATATGAAGTTAAGGCTGAGTATCAACTTTCACATACTTTGGGTGTCCATCCGTGAGAAGATATCCCAGTGAAATGCAATTATGTTTGCTACTAAATCAAACCACCATGTAGTATATGTGAAAATCATTGTCAGTGTTTGTCATATGGCATAAAAAGGAGGTTATTAAAGTTATTATGAAACGATTATATCATTACTCATGCATTAATTGTCTCCTAAACACACTTTATGTGCTCCAAACACAGGCAGTGCAACACACTGATCTCAAACATAAAACAGATAAACACACAAACAAAAAGGGACAAGAGGACACACACATACACGCATGCCTACAATCACGCACCCACACGGGGGCATGCAGCCACACACACAGGCCGATTAATATGAAACACACACACCCACCTACACAGACGCACGCACACATCCCTCTCATCTCCATAATTACTGTATAGTCAGCATGTCCGTGTCTGGGGGTGACTCTCAAAGTGAGATGTTGACAACAGTAGAGCTGAACTCAAGCTGGGTCCTGTCAAAGGCCTGACACTGATAGCATTATCCGTGTAATTATTCACAGTTAAGTGAACTGCCTACTTACTTTTAACATAATGGATTTGGATGAGTAAGCCATATCTATGCTGTCCTCTCATTTCATAACTTATATGACGTCCGTAACCCACAGGAAATATGCGTTCCAATTTGTCTTAATTAGTTTAAATACAGCCTATCTATTATTTGTGGCTGGGCTTTCATTTCTTTTACATTTGGGCATAATCTCAAAGCGCACCTGAGCTCCCTCTGAGGCACATTAGCATGCTGCAGCGCAACTGTTAAGAACCACAGACTTCTAATATATGGCTCATGCCTTTGCAAGCAGCCTGCCATTTTTCTTCTCTTCCATAAAATATTTGCTTGGCATTAATGAACGGGGAGCTGGCCAGAGCTTCTGAAAATCTTGATCAAGACGTTGAGCAAATGAGGAGTGAAGGGAAAGGCCGCCGGTCTGGCATTGGGAAATGGCAGCGTGCTTACGTGCGAGTGTGTGTGTACAGTATGCGTGTGGCTTCCCAGCGTGGGGAATATGAGAGATGTCAGACTGGCCTCTGTTCCTCTTCTGGCAGTATAAATTAGATGTGAACCAGCATGCCGCCGATGCCAGGGGAAAGTACACCTATCAAGGTTGACTAACTCATCATGGCTCTACGCACTAAAGCTCAGCAGATGAGGGGAGTGCGAGCATGTGCGCGTGTGTTTAAATCTTAATGAAACTGGCCCTCTGAAGGTCAGTACAGAGCAAGCAGGGACTCTTTCGTCTGCTGCTAATGGTGTATTAATGATTCAAAGAAGTCTCATGCTCACAGGTGCCCACCCAAGCACCCTGCTGACACACACTCAGACACACGCCTAACCACCCCCACAGACACATACACGAACATGAAAAAACACTGTACAGTACATAGACAAATAATCCAATTAAACAGACAGATTAACCAGTGTGACACAGGCATAGACAACGCTCTTTGTGTATAGGCACATGTGTTGTTGTTTTTTTTCAGCAATGCATTATGGTGAGGTGATTTGTTAAGAGTGAGAAATTGTTTCACAGGTCTTAAATTGCAGAATTTGGATTTCATTAACCGGCAATGATTGATTATCCCTCAGCTAACAGCTCATGTGATCAGTTTTGACAAGTATTTAATAAGGCACCAAGCACAAGTGAGAATGAATTAACTTCAGGCCAATTAAAGCGGGTATAAAAAGATATTTGCAGTAAGAAAGCTGGAATAAAATGTGCCTCTTAAGTTATATTCATGAGGTAGCTATTGTTCAATTCTCTACGGATGAGATAAGTACAAGTTCCCTTGTTAGAGCAAACAATGTTTTTTTTTACATTCTAAGGCAGCAAGTTGACTAGAAAAAAGATACCATAATTAATACAATCACTTTCAAATGTACCTTATGCTGTATATTACTGAGATCTTTACTCTGAACTATAATCTGAGAGCTGCATTTAAAAGTAAATGCAGTATCACTATAGTGCTGATAATAATTACCCAGCATTGACCACTTTTTGTGAAGCATACTACTGCAATTTTGATCTGCGCAGAGGTCAGCGTTTGCCTTCCAGTATCAGCTATTCAGTGTTAAAGGGGTGGGGTTTTAGGGTTGTGACAAAGTGCAGGAGGGGGTAGAGGTGCATAGGTACAGCGGGTTCCAATCCCGCGTTTGGGCAATGGTCTTACCTTGAATGTGGACATGGCTGGGTCCCTGCTATACCTGTCTATGGTGTGGAACTTGGACGAGTGGTTGAGCTCATGGTACAGCTCAGAATGTCTTTTGCGAGTGTGCATCACTTTCTGGAAGGGAAGAAAGGAAGGGACAGCAAAAATGAACCAAATAGAAACAAAAAAAAAAGCCAAAGGAAGGAGGAGTGGGCCAATATAGGGGCAGGCAGGGGAACAAGAATGGGTAAAAGGCTGAGGGACTGCAGTGATGGCAGCCATGAAAAAGGTGTTAGAGAGGGACGCGGACAGATCGATCGATTGCTGGCTCATGCTCATACATCATCCGCTTCCTGAGTCTTTAAGAATTTGGAAACTTGGAGTGCTGCGGAGGAGTCCTTGAAGTGAAAATTTGGTGAAAATGACTGACATAAATGCCATTGTTACAGACTGGAGCCAGCTAGCGGGTGGTCCTATTAAGGATTGTGTCTAACTCATTAAACATCTAACAGATGGACTGGAATTCAACTTTTGCCCTTGCGAAGGATATCGACAAAAACTGCCTACCCCGTGTTCTGAATACGTCTGTCTAGAAGGCAGCTAAATTCAGATCTTTAATTTTCTGACAACAAACTGCATTTGTCAGTGCCACTGCTGTTGTCTCTCTGTGCTAATGGGCAGTTCTGGAGCTGCTCGGCAGTAGCTAATCGTCAAAGCAGCTTGCGAGGTTGAAAGTGACACAGGGGCAAGATGCCAGCGCACACCCGCACACTTACTGGCCAGGACTGGCGCTTAGCACTGGCTCCAATTACTTCAGAGTGGGCACTCTCATCTTTGCTCAGCTAGGAAGGTGCTACTAGTTCCTTGCTTCGTGTCTTTTTGCTGCTATGGCTTTAGTTTTCCTTTTTAATTTTTGGCACATCCTTGTCTGAGTCATATGGTTTTAGGTTTTCATGAAATTCCAATAAATCCTGTATAAAGTATGACCTGAAAGTGATACATAACCTTCAAAATAAAGAACAATGGGAGCAGCCTAATAAAGGATGCTACTGGGTTGCATTTTGGGAAATGAAGGATCCAGCATTTTTGGAGCTTGAATCATGCTAGGAACTAAAACTCAGAACATCACAATTTGACTGCTCCTTTTTTTAATTGTGTCTCTTGCAAGTCCAACTTTAAGTGGTATACTAAATCAATGGAGAACTCCTTTAAGTTTTCAGTATTATTTCCCCTAAAAGGCTATATTCTTAATTAAGTTTGCTTGTATAAAGTTAATTCTTGACAGTCTGGGACGCCTGGTTAGCTAAGTTGGTAGAGCTGGCGACCCATATACTGAGTTGCTGCAGCGGCCCAGGGTTTTCAAAAAGAAAAAACCATTGCTGACCTGGCGCCGCTTTCTGTGTGTCCCTCCCCTCTCTCTCTACCCTTATCCTGTCCATATCTTCCCGGCTGTCCACTATGCAAATAAGGCAATAAAAGGCCCCAAAATAATAACTTAAAAAAAAATCTTGACAGTCTAAAAAGGCTTGGGGCAAGACCTCCAATAAGGTAAAAAACAATAAAAATAAAAACTGGATAAGAATGTTTACCTTCCACTTAAAGTTCATGGAAGTGTACACTATTGTACGTGGTTCTCCCTATGTCAAGCCCCTTTATCCCAAAAGTCAATAGTGCAATTGACTCGAGAAAAAGAGTTATTTCGCAGGAGAGGCCAGTCTCCTTGTACTAAATTCATGCAGCGGCCACAAATGACTCTCCAGTAAATTTTTTCGCGCAGATAAGTAAAACAACAGGCATAGTCACTGTTAGCTAGCTTGCTCCATCACACCATACCCTGCCTGTATACAAGATATATCTCCGTGGTGAGGGTGAATGTCCCCAAGTCCAGTTTTGCCAAACAGTCTACAATGAAGACTGAAATTCTCAACCAAAAAGCAGAGGTAGGTTACTGTATTATGATTTACTCCCGCTAGAGACTGGAGATTCACAGAACACAGGTCATTCTGACACCATACATACTCACGGCACTGCCAAACCCGACTTGGTTCCCAACATGATATAACAGCCAAATCAACCTATGACGCACCATAACGCTCGTTGACCCCCAAGAACTGCAATACTTGCTACTCAATGCAGACAGCAAGAACCACACTACTTTGTGCTTTCTTTCCAACCAGGACCGCGCCAAGATGACATGACCCACGCATTATTTGATTTACATGTACATGTCAGTGGATGTTTTGTTCCCCCCATTGATGGCTACGATTGATTGAGCCCTCCCAAGATCAAGACCAGATAAGAAGTTGGACAGGTCTAAGGGCCATTGTGGAGAAACCAGCATACTATGCTAACGGTAGGTCTGAAACATACGTTCATTGAACGTTTCTAAATGCCCAAAGGAGAAACCAGGTTGCGAAGAGGAGGGGTTTAGCAATGCGTCTTTGCTCTCCTTTCGTTACTCATCCTGGCAGAAGCACAAGAAAGCAGAACAGGCCCGATGACGGGGGCCGAGGGCCCGAGATCTTTCCTCGAAGCTCCAGCATCGAGA